AGTGTAGGTCGGTCTTTGATGCTCAGGGCAACCGTATTTGTGGACGAGATGCTAGAGAGCCAAAAAACGGCCAGAGGGGGCCCCCTTCACAGGCGGGCCCCCGCCCCAGAGACAGGACAGCTCAGGGTGGCAGCCTTCAACAAGGGCCACCCCTGGGTCAGCAGGTGTGGACCTCAGTGTCGCCTCCAGACTTATACAGAAGGTCACCATTAGGATGGATGGCGTTAGGACCCTAAATGACATGCAAAAGCTATTGGGAGACATTAATTGGATTAGGCCATATTTACATATACCAAATTCAGATCTCAAACCCCTGTTCGACCTTCTGAAGGGAGACCCAGATATAGCCTCCCACAGGAGGCTCACTCCTGAGGCAAGAGCTGCCTTACAGAGAGTGGAAAAAGCCTTAGGTGGGGCTACCTTACACAGAATTGAACCAGGGCGACCCTTTGATGTCTGTTTGCTACAGACTAGTCTACAGCCCACAGCGGTGATTTGGCAGAAAGGACCATTACTGTGGATACACCCTAAGGTCTCACCTGCAAAAGTCATAGAGCATTACCCGGAGGCAGTCGCTTCATTGGCCCTTGAAGCGCATGATAGAGCTGTCCAACATTTTGGCTCAGGACCACAAGCCATCCGAGTACCCTATACCGCCAGCCAGATCAAGACCCTGGCTGCCTGCATAGATACCTGGGCCATTCTGAGATGTGTTTTCCATGGGGATATAAACAATCAATACCCTAAAGACCCTATCTTGTCATTTGTCACTCAGCACCCTATAATTTTTCCAAAGGTTACTGCCTCTGAGCCATTAGTCCCAGCAACTACAATATACACAGATGGCTCCAAGACGGGGATAGGCGCCTATGTGATCCTAGGCAAGCCCCCGGTTACCATACAATTTAAACCAGATCAGCCTCAGGTGGTAGAACTGCAGATCGTTAAAATGATTCTTGAACGGTTCTCAGAAGCCATTAACATTGTCTCCGATTCTAGATATGTGGTCAATGCTATGCAAGTGCTTGAGACTGCCAGTTTAATTAGATCCACTTCCACAGTGGCTGGACTGTTCCTGTCTATCCAGACATTGCTTCAGAACAGACACCATAAGGTCTTCACCACCCACATAAGAGCACATACATCCCTGCCAGGGCCCATGGCACAGGGGAATGCGGCTGCTGACACTGCCACTCGCCCGTTATGGATTTTTACCTTACTAACACCAATCGAGCGAGCCCGTGCCTTCCATGATAAATTTCATGTTAATGCCAGGACACTAGCAAACCATTTCCATGTTTCTAGAGCAGATGCACGAGATATCGTGCGACTATGTGACTCCTGTGCCACATACAAACCTGCCATACCGATGGGAGTAAACCCTCGAGGTTTGATCCCTGGTGATGTTTGGCAGATGGACATCACACATATACAGGAGTTTGGGACTCTTAAATATGTTCATGTTTCCACAGACACCTGTTCTCACGTCATATTTGCAACAGCAGAAACAGGTGAAAAAGTGTCTAATGTGATCAATCATTGCCTGGCAGCTTGGGCCGCATGGGGCAAACCAAAAATATTAAAAACTGATAATGGACCAGCCTATATAGGCAAAGCCTTCAATGAGTTCTGCAAAATGATGGAGGTTCAATTAAAACATGGTATCCCATACAATCCCCAAGGTCAAGGAATCATTGAGAGGGCTCATAGAAGCCTCAAAGAAATTTTACAAAAACAAAAAGGGGGAGTAGGCCAAGGCCTGGCCCCAAAGGCACGATTATCCATGGCACTATTCACACACAATTTTTTAAATTTAAATAATGATAATCGCTCCCCAGCTGTGGAGCACTGCAACCCTTCCCCCAACCATAAAGGGTGGGTGAAGTGGAAAGATGTCCTGACAGGACAATGGATGGGCCCGGATCCAGTGGTCAGCTGGAACCGAGGCGCGGTTTGTGTTTTCCCACAGGAACCGGGACGAGAACCACTGTGGATACCGGAGAGACTGACACGGGCAACAAAGCCCTCGACTGAAGATCAGACCTGCCCTACTGGAGATCCATCACAGACCAACCAATAAGATGAATAGAAATAGCGGTAGCCCGAAATGGACAAGAAGATCCTCAGGCATATGCATGGCTTGCTCAATTGGCCCACGACCGAGTCTAGATATGGCGGGCATCCCTCATTCTCCTCCATAAGGTGACAATACACAGCAGGGTAGGTGAGTCAATGACGGGTAAGAGCGTGCCTCCCCAGCACGACTCGACCTAAGCCAGGCCCTACCCCATCCTGCACGTAAGCCGCTGGACTGTTAGATGCTGCCCAGGTCTAAATTTCTCTCCGAGGGGATTTCTTTACGGAGAGGAAATGAGTGCAAGCTTGTGTGCATCCAGGTTCCGTCCAGTTTGTGCCTGGCCCTAGAAAAAGGACGAGGGCCTCAGGGCCTTGGCAGACCATGGCATGGCCAACCAGGGTCTAAGCCAAGGACCTACGGTGGGCCTACACATAGGGCATAAGCCTCTGCACCCAGTCCAGGAAGGGCTACGATGCGCACATTCATAAAAAATAAAATAGGGGGAGATGTTGGGAGCCGCGTCTGTGATAGCTCGCCTTGCGCGGCGGACGTGCGGCCTGTGGTAAAGAGCAAAGCCTGAGGTAGATTACCCCTCCCATCGAATATGTTAGTTTCCTGCTTACCGCGTAAACAACCCGCTCAACAATATAGTCTGCCTGGCAACTGATGATGTTAGCCAATCAGCTTGCCTTGCTTACTTTAACATGATTGGACACTGTACCCGTATATATACCGGTGCCACCCCTGGGCGGAAGAAGAAGCCAGGTAGAAGCCCGGAAGTAGAAGCCCAAAAGGAGCCGCGGAGAGCGGACCGGTAGAGGCTTTGGGGCAGACTGAAGCACAAAAGGAGCCGCGGGGAGCGGACCAGAGGAGGCTTCAGCTGGGAGAACCCAGGGCAGGCTGTACGGAGAAGGAAAATAAAAAGAAAAGGTTGTCCACTACCAGACTTTGTCGTGTGTCCTTCCTGCCGGCCGGGAGCGGACATCGACAAAGAAGAATATGAATATTAAAGTTATTAAAATGTATTTTACCAATAAATGATAGAGGAAAGTAAAAACATTAAAGAACAGCTCAATCAAGGAGCCAATGAACAGTTCTTGAAAGTAGAACACATAAAAAAAAGGCAAAGTAGAAAAAATAGCAAATAAATAATATGCTAGAAGCTTAACCTATAGAATGTGTTCTCTCACTATAATGTTATGGACTATATTTTTCTATAGAGACAAAGGTTATTTTATGTCAGGAGAATGAACATTGGTAACATTTTATCAAAATAGTATTAGATATATTTCAACCAGAACTTTTTCCTGTATGCTAAGTGTACAGAACTGCCTATCTGTAAAACTTTTCTTTAAGAAACTGCAGTATTTTATCACAGCATATATTTTTAGCAAAAAAAAAAAAAAAAAACCCAAACAAAAGTAGAACCTGTAATAATACTACATCTGTCTAGCACTTAAAGTTTAAAAGAAATTCCAGATTTTCACATAACATCATTAAAAAAAGTTCTGACCAAAAGAGACAACCCTAAACTACTTCTATTTTGTAAATGACTTGGAGTGTGGCCTGCGTTAGCTGTGGGCTCCTAGACATGGAGAGTCACAAGTCATGACTTACCGCAAAACCCTTTCCCAGGTTTAGCCAAGTACTCTTAGGAAAAATTCAATATATCCTACTCATCAATATGTTAGACTTTAAAGCTACTGACCAAATTTTTATATAGCTGACGGAAAATTATTAGATAAATACATATGAAATTCTGTTAGAGGTAGTTTGAAATGCTTAATCATTTAACAGGAATTTGTAAAACTGTACAGATTTTTAAACATGATACAAAGACAAAACTATAAGCTTTAAGAACATAGAAGGCAGTGAAGGATATAGCTCAGTGGCACAATGCCTACCTGGCAAGTGTGAGGTTGTGAGTTGGATCCCTGGCACCAAAACAAACAAACAAACAACAAAAAATCAACAAAGTTAAAAGTAGAAAGCCACAAATGACACCTAAGTTCATCTGTTAATAAACAAAGCTTTCATCTTTTAAAATAAACATTTTACTTATTAAGTCACCAAAATTTATTAGATGAAGATTTATACATGGTCACTCTAATTTATTAATTTATCAATACTGACTTTTATAAGGCAAGTAGATTGTAAGCACTGACAGAAACTACATGATCTCTTAGCCTCATTTTAAAAAAAAATTTTTGGTGGTGATGGAAATTAAATCCAGGGCCTCACGTAAGCTAAGGATATGTTCTACCAGTGAGCTACATCCCCAACTCTGCTTGATTTCTTTAGGGTTAGAATTTCTAACATGGATATTTATGTTAGGTATTTCACACTTAGCAGAGTAACAGTTTATAAAACATGTATGTTTAGTTGATTATTAATTTATGTATTTTGAAACTACAGCTAATGAAAAATTTAAGTTTTAAGAAGTATAAAATGCCATTAGAATACGAGCTTAAACTATTAAAACGTTAATTAAACATGACAGGAGATTGAAATGAAATTTTTTGATGGCACAGAATTTTTACTAAAGAGACAAAAAGAGAGCTGTGAATGAAAGACAGAATGGGATGCTATAGAACTAATCATACAAAAATAATGAAAACAAATAACCAACAAGTAGTCATCAGTTTTAAGAGTATACAACACAGTATGATGCTACAATTGTGAACCTATAATCCCAGACAACACTAAACTGTTCTCTAAGTAGACTGACGTTAGACTCAAAATGTTGTATCTAAACACAATAGGAGTGCCACATTACAAGGAGAATAATTTAATAGCACAAATATCTTAACATAATAAAATATGTCAACAGTATATACATGTACTCTAAGATCTGTTAATGCAACACTTGTTATGCCAGATATAATCAGTCACACTAAAAATAAAATGATAAAAACTCACTCACTGTCTTCTGTGGGAAGAACCTGCAGGGAGTAAATCCATTCTATTATATCATCTTTGTTCACCACATCTAAGGAGTCCAACATATCTAGTCCAGAGAGCGCAAAAAATGCAATTGTCAACCTAAAAGAAAAAAAAAAAAAAAAAGTAAAAGTCACCTTAAATACCAAACTCCTTTTTGCTCAGAATAGTAGTAAATACACTCTGCTTTTACAATAATTTGTAAAATAATTTAAACAAACTCCCACCTTGATCCTATTCTTTTCTATCTCCATTTCTCTCTTGGAATGGGAATATTTATCTTGTACCACTGCATATTGGGATTAAATAAGTAACTTGTGTTTTGAATCTTTCAGAGGTTCAATACTAAAAGTTTGCCTTAAGTCTCAAAGGATGTTTTACCTTGGACTTTTGAGCAATACTGGAACTCTTAAGAATTTTAGGAGGAATTATGCATTTTTTTTACTGTATGCAGGATATTTATATCATGTAAAATCATGAACTTGCTATTTTCTTTATTTGGAAATGGTTTAAGGAGATGCAATTGGATGTCAACTCAACAAGGAGTAGAATGAGATGATTAACCTTGTTGATTTCACTGACTTGGAGGTGTCCTGCAGGATTAGTAAAGCATACAGTATGTCTGGGTGCATCAAGGAGGACCCTGGTCCCTGGTCCTTCCTCTCTGGCACTGCTTTCCCGCTCTCTTTCCTACTGGCTCGAACTAAGCATCTTTCCTTTGCCAGGTCTTTCTGCCACAAGGTTCCTACCTTGGACCCTGGCACTCATGGACTGACTCCTCTGAAACCAGGGCCAAATAAACCTCTCCTCCTTTAAGTTGTAGGTGTGAGGTTAATTGTCCCAGCAACAGTAAAGCTAACTAATACAGCAACCTTTTGCCCTAGGAGAACATTCTCTAGAATCTTGAAGAAAAACTCTGTAACACTCACCAAATTTGAAATCAATCAATTATATGTCGTGAGAAAATGTCTACTCTGAGGGATGTATTAAAAAATTTACTGAATTAATTAACAAATAAAAGATGTTCCATACTACATCGAATTTTCCTGAAGAGCTTTACATGGTTTTCAGATTTGGTATAACCCACAAAATGAATGATTATATTTACAGTCAGATAAAATTAAGTAATAAGCCATAGAAATAGGAATTTTAGGCTTTTTTACATGGCTGACAGTAATACTGAGTTAATGGTACTCTAATGTCTGCTTGTTATTGGGATATAAACTGCTGAGTAACCTATCTCACACGCATATACGGGGTTGATCTTTCCAACAGACGTACCCCCAGTTAGGTCAATGAAGTCATTTTTACTTTAATACTTCTTTTTTTATTGGTCTTTTTCCTTTTTATCGGTACCAGGAATTGAACTCAGGACTGCCTGCTTGCAAGGCAGGTGCTTATGCCGCTGAGCTAAATCCCTAGCCCCCTTTAATACTTCTTTTAAATAACATGTGTCTACTCTCTGCCTTTTTCAGAATTAAGTCTCTTGAGTTTGCAGTCTAAAAGTTAAAGCAAGTAAACCTTGTATTTCTACTCTCCTCCTCCTTCTTGGATAGAAAGTAACATTTTCTACCTTAAATAAAGCTGTTTACTCACACGGATGGGTAAATTAAATACTTCCACAAGACCTCATTTTCCAGGTTTAAGCCATAAAAATAAATCAATTAATTTAAAAGAAAAAAGATTAAGAACATGATTGACAGAATCGAAAATAAGACAAATAACAGTCTGGTAATGGGAAAAGAATTTAGTGATGTGGCTATGATACGTGTAAGTACAGTACTGCCAGGCTACAGCCGCAAGTGGTAATTTGGGAATACTGTTGGAGACCACTACAAAGGGCTCTGAGCAGGATTTAAATTTAACTAATTGGCTTTCTATGTTTATTTGTGAGTGTCCTAGGCCTCAGCCCCTTGCCTGATGACGAAAGTTGATTCATAGTAAGTGAACCTCTATGAATCACTGGTCCTGCTGAGGCCTGCAGTGGCCTGTGAGGCCAGAGATAACTCAAAGGGCAATATAAGGCCACAGCTGTGGACAGTTGGCTCACACATTAATTAAGTAGATAGAGACTGCAGCTGCAGGAATTACTCCTATAGTCTCACTCCTACAATGTCTTCATGATAAGACAGTGCTACTAAATTGACTTGATTCATTATTTGGAGACATCCTTGAAGTGACTCCCAAGGTCCTGCTCATTGCCTGCACTTTCCTTAGTTTCCCCGGCCCTTGTTTGACCTAATAAATAAAGGGGGCAGTCCAGAGAAGTCTTTGTCTTAGCCCTTGAGCTTAATTAAAGGGTTTTGACCCTCCTGAAGGCCCCCCCCCCCAAATCATACAATTTGTCTGTTTTTATTTACCTCTGCCATACAACCATTTGGGAGATGAGGTATCTAGGTCAGGACCTGATGGAATTTATTGGAACATTTATTTATAAAAGATGACTATATTCCCAATTTTGGATCACTTGCTTTGCATTTTTCTGGTATACCGCCTTCTTTTACTGACACCAGCAAGTGCCTCTAACAATGGATGGCAAGCCTATGCAGATTTCAGTTGGGACTATGATACTGTAGAGTTCTAAAATTATAATAAGCAAGCAGTTTAATAAGAAATAGAAATACAGCTAGAGATTTAGCTCAGAGGCATAAGTACCTGCCTGGCAAGCGCAAGGTCATGCGTTCGATCCCCAGTACAAAGAAAAACAAAAGAAATACAGCTAACCAATTTTTGGATTCCAGATGCTGGAATACAGCAACATGAAGAAGAGAAAGAGGAGGGAAGTGGGTTGCTGGAACCCAGAAAGGATCTGAAATGGAAATTAGAGCCCGCAGGGAGAGCAAAGAGATGGATCACAATGTAGAAGAGGGAGGTGACTAAGGCACTTCCACCCTGAGCCCCTGCTTATGGTGTGGGAGGGTGGCCTGGACCTGCAGAAACACTGCAGCAACTACTAGGACCACAGAGGACTCCATGGAGACATTCATCAGTAGAACAGAGCAGTGGATGTTGTAGACTGCAGAGCCTGCTAAGTTATTTGGGTTCAGATCCCCAACCTCACCCCTGCAGAGGCTGATTGGCTAATAGCCATTTTGGAAAGGGAACAAAGGAAACTAGAACTTAGAGAAGCTGCAAGTTGACTCTACTTAATTGGCCCCAAGTGTTAGGGCGAAGCACAGATGAGTTCCAGCAGGTAAGGAGCCATGTTCAAGCCAGCAGGAAGCACTTAAACAGTATTATAAGCTGAAAAACTCAGGTTCCACCCTCACAACTATAAATCAGAAGCAACCTGAATTTCAGTGGAACTAATGGCTCAAGTGTGCTGCGATTATTCACCATTTCTGTGATTCTATTGTTGGCTTGTTGGGATCAATCAACACAGATCTGAATTCTATCTGCCACCTGTGTCAACTAGTAATAGCAGAGATACAACTTGCTGGTTTTTGTCAAAAAACACTTGTTTTTTTTACTTTCTTTGCTTTTAAGTCTTTTTTTGTTTTCTTTTTTTGTCTTTTTCGTTTTTATCGGTACCAGGGATCCAACTCACGACTGCCTGCTTGCAAGGCAGGTACTTATGCCGCTGAGCTAAATCCCCAGCCCTGCTTTTTAAGTTTTTAATTTTCATTTTTTTTTATACAGGTGAAAAAACTGTTTCAAAATTTTTGTTGTTGTTTTGTTCTGTTCTTGTTTCTTTCTTCTTTCTTTCCATCAGTTTTCCTTATCAGTTCCTAAAGCCTGCATTATCTTCCTTTGTCTTCAAGCCTGGCTTCTAATCCCTTTCACTTCTAGTTTTCTAATTTTCTCCTCAGCCTCCCATTTAAATTTTCTCCCTGAGGGTAAAATCTCCATATTGAGGGGATATTAACTACACACAGTTTTCTGGTTTGTTTCAGACTTGGTTACATAACCACAAATAAACCCTGTTCATAAGGTAAAGGTGCATTTTAAGAGGTATCACGGCTTGTCATTTTCTAGTGTTTGTTTAACGCTATTGTTATTACAGAGTGTACCACTTTACCCAAGGTGATATAGCTGTTTTAATTATTTGTTCTTCCTTCTATGCAAAGACAGACTGCCTGAGAGTCATAAGCAATACATCACTGTCAAAGAACCAGGGGTTAGTTCAAAAGGCAGCAATTTCTCACCCCAATAGATTGAAGAGCTAGGATCCCAAAACAGACTCAAGACCCAAAAGTCAGTTACAATCAGAAGATATCTCTGACTAGTCATTTCCTTACCATTCTAAATACCATTAAAGACACCTACTATAAACAATTATAAGCAACAAAGCACAAATTAAAAAAGAAAGAAAATAAGAAGACAGAGAAGCAACACCAGATTTCCAGTTCACCAAAGGCAAACCTAAAGGGCAATAAGGAGGAACGATTAGAAACCTAACTGGACTATTTAAAATGGAAGAGCGGAAGTAACAAAGCAGATGGACAAGGCTCTAGGAAAATCAAATCAGAAATAAATTTTCAGATAACTCAGAGATAAAGACCATGATAAAAGACATGATTAGTTGAAAGGATTTTGGCCCAGACAGGACACTGTAGCCCGTAAAGCCTTAGAGGCAAAACCAAGGAGCTCCATCTCCCCCACCCCTAGGAATTTACCTCTGGTGCCAAAAGAATACCAATGGGCTACCTGTGCATCCCTAATACCCCCTCAGGCTCCACCCCAAACCTAAGCTATATGTATGCCTCCACTTCACGTGTCCCACGGAGAGATCGGAGAGATTGCCGACCCCGGGGAAATGCCACATCCCAGGGAGTCGGAGGTCTCTCCCTGCATTCTTAAAATAAAGGTTATTTATATTTCATACTTTTATCTTTTCAGCCACCGCCCCACAATTCTATCAAGTGAATCAAAGACACATTTTAAAAAATACAGGGGCCTAGGACAATAACGGAAACCATGAATGCTTCAAACAGGAAACTACAGAATTCATGAAACAGATATAGAAATTTCACTGCAAGTGTAAGTGGAAGAATGAACCAATGTGAAGACAGAATATCACATCTCTACAACATGATGATCATGAAAAGAAAGATTTCTTTAAAATGACAAGGGAGGGCTGAGGATATAGCTCAGTGGTATAG